AATGGTTGTTTACTTTTGACAGAGAGAGAGAGAGAGAGAGAGAGAGAGAATCAGAGCATGAGTGGGGGGAGGGGCAGAGAGAGAGGGAGACACAGAATTCCAAGCAGGCTCCAGGCTCCGAGCTGTCAGCACAGAACCTGACGTGGGCGCTCGAACCTGTGGACTGCAAGATCATGACCTGAGCCGAAGTTGGACGCTCAACCAACTGAGCCATCCAGGCGCCCCACAATTTGAATTTTAAAAGGAAGATACCTGGGGTGCCTGGGTGGCTCAATCTGTTGTGTCCGACTTTGGCTCAGATCATGATCTCATGTTCATGGGTTCAAGCCCTGTATCAGGCTCTGTGCTGAGCTTAGAGCCTGGATCCTGCTTCAGATTCTCTCTCTCTCTCTCTCTCTCTCTCTCTCTCTCTCAAAAATAAACATTAAAAAAATCTTAAAAGGAAGATGCCTGTTTTCGTTACCCATTGCCATATAACATATCACCCTAAAACTTAATGGCATAACAAAGCAATTGTTTATTTCTTGCAATTCCATGGGTAGGCAACCTGGGTCGTTCTCTGACTAGCCTTAGGTAGGATCACTCCTGTGGCTGCCGTCATCTGAGTTCAAATGGACTAGAAGGTCCTGGATGGCCTCACTCACATATCTGAGAGTGGGCCTCGGCTGCTGACCGAGGGAACTTGGTTCTTCTCCACATGGCCTTGGGCATCCTCCAGCAGGCTAGACCTGCACAGCAAAGTGGTCTCAGGGTCCCAGGAAGCGAGAATGGGCATGCATTGCAAGGCTTCTTGAGGTCTAACCTCTGGAAGTCACACAGTGTCACCTTCTCCACATTCTATTGGTCGAGGTAAGTCACAAGGCAGCCCAGATTCAAGGGATGGAGAAAAAGGTGCTATCCCAGTGCCCACAAGAAAGGGGCTAACTGAGGGCCATTTCAAGCTGAGGTAAGGGATTTGACACAGAGAACAGCAGGAGGTCCCCTGGTGTTGGTAACAGAGGTGGGGGGCATGGGAAGAGGCAGGAAAACCTTCTGCACAGAGTCTTTGGAATAGCTGGGGTGTCATTGGACACCTCATACCTTGAGCATCTATTGTATAATTAACACCAACACAAGGAAAACTGGATTTTGTTTAGAAGGCTGTAAAGCTTAGATACTGCCCATTCTAGACCATCCTAGTCTCCCACCTGGAATAAGGAAAATGCTGGGACAAAGAGGAAGAAAAGAGACAAACTACTGCAACTAGGTAGGGGTGGGAAGGCAAACTCGTTATAAATTTCCCCCTGAAATCCACATACCAACTTGCCTACCCACTGTCCCTCGAGTGTTGAGCACTTCCACTTTCTTCAAGGTAAATATTCTCAGATCCCCGTCCCTGGATAGTTCCAGTGGATCTCATGTAATTATTTTTAGAGCAATACTGCCCATGCTATGGGTTCTTTAAATTTTTTTCTATAAGAATTTGTAACTTGTTCATGCTCTTTTATTTTTAAAGGACAGCTATGCATTGGTGTATTCTCAAAAGCTGGTGAGTTTTCCTTATAAAGGGACGGGTGGGCTTGGGGTGCTTTGACCAGAACAGTTGGGTCATATACTGGCATAATGGGGAGCGGGGGAGGCTACTATATGCGCCATTTTTGTGCTTATATTATGGACGTATATGTTTGGTAATAAAACTAAACTTTAAAAGTACAGATGTACCTTGTTTTATTGTGTTTCGTGGGTATTGCATTTTATTTTATTTTTTTTTTACAAATTGAAAGTTTGTGCCAACACGATGTTAAGCAAATCCGTTGATGCCATTTTCCCACCAGCATTTTCTCACCTTGTGTCCTTGTATCACATTTTGGTAATTCTTGGCAATATTTCAAACTTTTTCATTATTATTTTATTTGTTGTGGTGATCTGTGATGAGTGACTACAACTAGCTGAAAGCTCAGATGATGGTTAGCATGTTTAGCAACAAAATCTATTTTAATCAACATACATATGTTGTTTTTGAGACGTAATGCTCTTGCACACTTAACAGACTAAGCTATAGCGTGAAACATAATTTTTATATGCGCTGGGAAGCCAAAATATTCCTTTGACTTGCTTTGTTGCAATATTGGCTTTGTATTAGTGGTCTGGAACTGAACCTGCTATATTTCTTTTTTTTTTTAATATGAAATTTATTGTCAAATTGGTTTCCATACAACACCCAGTGCTCATCCCAACAGGTGCCCTCCTCAATACCCATCACCCACCCCCCCATAAACCCTCAGTTTGTTCTCAGTTTTTAGGAGTCTCTTATGTTTTGGCTCCCTCCCTCTCGAACCAATTTTTTTTCCTTCCCCTCCCCCATGGTCTTCTGTTAAGTTTCTCAGGATCCACATAGGAGTGAAAACATATTGAACCTCCTATATTTCTAAGGTATGCCTGCCCTTTGCTTAGTCCTAGGGGACTCCCTCGTAATAAAAAAAAAAAATACCATATATATAATAATAAATGCTATATTCGCTACTTAAGTTTATTTTCTATTAAGGAGATCCTATTTGTAAAAAGTCTTTGAAATTCTTCAACATCTCCTTGATCTAGAAGGCCTGTGTCTGCAGTATCCATCACTGAATCTCCAGTGCCCAGCACAATCCATACCACAGGATAGGATTCCAGTATGTACTTAGTAACGGAAAGGACGATAATAATAATGATCATCCCCACAGGCAGAGGTAAGGGAGTATCTGGAATCGGAGTCAAACTTGTTATATAAGAAGTGATGCCCGATCCTTGGATCTGGACCAATGGGACTGTTGCGGTCTGCAACAAATGGAGAAAGGGAGAAGGAGGAATATTTTAGACGGCCTCAGAAATTTAGGTTGAACAAAGAATCTTAGCAGTTGACACATGGTCTTCCCCTTCTATAACAGCATTCATCTGTAGAGTTTTATTTGAAGGGGTTGCTCCCTGAACACTTATGAGTAAGAAAACCCTCCTCTTCTCCAGCCGTTAGATCCTTTTGTATCACTTTATTCTTATTTTTCAAGTTGTGAAGGGGTGCCTGGGTGGCTCAGTTAAGCGTCCAACTTCGGCTCAGGTCATGATCTCATGGTCCGTGGGTTCGAGCCCCGCGCGGGGCTCCGTGCTGACAGCTCGGAGCCTGGAGCCTGCTTCGGATTCTGTGTCTCCCTCTCTCTGCCCCTCCCCCACTTGGGCTCGCTCTGTCTTTCTCAAAAATAAACACTTAAAAAATGTTTTAAGAGAATAAAGTTGCGGAAATTGAATAGATTGTGGAATTGTGGAATAGTTGTGGAATTGAGTAAATCTGCCTCCTGCAATTTGTATCTCTCGGTGCTTATTCTGTGTCTGGTACTGGCCAGACCAAACCCGTACTCTCTTCCATATAACACTCATTCATATAATTGAATCTCCCCCATTGTCGAATATGTGACAAAAATTGGTTGAGTTTCATAATGCAGACCTAAAGGAAAACTTATCTTGAATAATGACGTTACAATACATAGACGGTTTAAGGACTCCTACACCATCTCACGGTTTTGAGCTGTGTGGTTAAAGACCTTGAGAGTTGACAGATTAGTCAGGGATTTGTCAAGAGTATTAATTACAAACTTTGAAATCTTGGTCAGTGAAAGTTCATCATAGTGCATCTTGCAAATATGATCAAAGTCTTTTCACTACTGATTTTATGATGCTTAACCACAGTGTGTAAAGAATGAAGGTTTTCATTAGAAATTACTGGTGTAATAGAGCACATTTTAAAGGCAGATGTATTGTTAGACTATTAAAATTCATGATCTTCCTCTATCCTACCCCAACCCCTGTTTTGGGGATGCCCCCCCTCATTGTCTCTGAACACCTGAAATGGATTTGGGACTGCTGTAAGGGAACTGTGCTCTCTACAGTATTAATGTAGCTCAGTAATGGCCACTGCTGTGAGGGCGGCTACAGTGGGGCTGGTGTAAGTGTTGTTTTTACAACCATAAAAACTTGGGGGCTAACTGTAATTTGGTGAGTGAAAGAAATTTATGGCTGGCTGAAAACTTAAAAAATGGAGGGGTAAATTGTGCAGCTGGTTATGGGAAAGGAAAACAGACCCTCCGCCTTGTCCTTGTTGAGTTTTAGAAAAACAACCTATTATTTTTGGTAGCTTTTTTTTTTTTTTTTTTTTTTTTTTTTTTTTTTTTTTTTTGCCCTGGGAATAAAAAGAAAAAAAATGCATTGGCACCTAATCCATGGAAAATGAAATTAAAATACACCCAATGCAGCTCCTCCAAAATCACTAGCTTACATTTCCCCCCTCCCTTCTGCCGAGATGTCATATTTGTGTTTTCCAATGGTTATCAGAATACACATGGACATCTGCCAGGTTCCTTGGTGTTCGCCTTAACTGCAGGTCGATTTGCTGCAGTAACCAGGTGTAAGATGCACAGAGATGCCAGTGCTTGGTCTTGGTACCCCCAGTCCCACTGTGCCTGCATTTCGGGAACTATGGCCTGCTGCCAGCCAGGGGTGGGGAGGTGCTAGTCTGGAGAGAACCGGGGCTAGTCTCCAATGGGTTCACCTGTCTGATGCTCTTCCTGTTCAATTGCGTCAGCACGCCAGAGGGGGGCACCCCAGGCACTCCAGAGGTGGAGGGGAGGAAAAGGATGGGGACTGGAGGAGAGGGGAGGGCAGGGCAGGGCAGGCAAGGGGAATGCAGATAAAATTCCCAGACCTTGGTCCTGAGATTCCCATCTAATTTGGAGCCCGCCCCCAACCCTGTATGGAAGAAGTGGACTTCTGCAGGACCAGCTGTCACAGACTTGGGAATTTCTAAGATAAGTCTTGTGACGGTTATTCATGACCAAAGGCCTCTACCCTCCTGGGTCCCTGGAAATCCCAAGGGGAACTAGTTTCCCCAGTGGCTACCTGTGCAGGTGCTTGGGAGTGGGCGCAAAGCCAATGGCACCCCGCGCTGTAAGTGAGCCAACGTCTGATCTGTCACTTTGTGTCATGTTTTGCAGTTACTGGATTTGTGCGACTCGGTGAAGGATGATGCCCTGAGGGTGATCTCCGCCTTTAACATTCCACACACCTCCCTCCACGCACCAGTCGCCGGAATCACCAATGCGCAGGCGGCCTGGGCCTTCTACCCTGCACGGCCACAACCCCAGGCCCGAGAAGGGGCGCGCTCTCAGCGGCCCAAGCTGGGAGCCAAGTTATAGCGGGCGTGGCGGGAAGGGTGGTGGCTCGCTCGCAGTTGCCACGACACTAGCTTCTCTGACGCCTGGAGCTGGGGCGGAGGCCGGCCTGGCACGCGCTAGGCCCTCGGGGATTTTCGGTCGCAGAGTGAGGTTCCCACCGAGGCTGGCGCGGTTCGCGATGGGCTGTTGGGAAAGGGAGCCAGGCGGCAGCCCCGGAACACGGATCTGTATCACGTAACCCGGCCGCGCCCAGCCGCAACCTCTCCCAGCTTAGGCGCCTGATCCCCCTAGACAGTGGGTTCCCCTGCGAACACGCCCCACACCCAGGTGTCGCCAAAGGTCTCCTGCTGTCAGCGGTGATTGAGAGTTACAGTGATTTTTTGGAAAACGCATTGGTGCTGCGTGGGGGGAAAAATCAAAGCATAAAAATCAAACACTCGTGGGCAAAGTTCAGCTCAGCAAATGATGCTTTTCCAGTGAATCAGATCCCCCTTGGAGTCTTCGAGGAAACGCACGGATGTGGAAAGGGGAGCGTGTGTGCCTGGAGTTTTGCTCTCCGCAGAGCGCGAACTCCGGCTCGTCCTCTCTGGCAGGCGGCTTCCGGACCGTAAGACAACGAGCGGAAAATATTTTTACCATATGAAATTGTAATCTGTTCTTTAGAGGAGCATAGATACAAAGTTTAATAAAGACATTAAGCGATGGGAAGGCGCTCCGGCTACTTCCGAGGATGGGGAGGCGGGCTAGGGCCGTACATTTCAGTTAAGTCGATTTCGGAACTCGGAGACACCACACCGGCAACGCCTGTGGTCTGGGCAAGGGCTGTAGATTTCCTATCTCATTTTTCAGATCATTGCCCCACTTCATTCTTGCTCCTTTCTCTCAGTCCAAGCCATCCTCCTTACTCCCTCTCCTCCTCTCCTGGCGGAGGCAGGAGTGGGCATAGCTCTGCTTGTGTCTGCGAGGGCGACATCCAGGACCGGACCAGAGCAGAGAGCCCACCTGCTCTTCCCACACCGTCCCTTTCCAGAGGACCTCTGGCCCCTGTGGGAGAGGGCGGGAAGAGCGCGGGGGAGTTCTGCCAAAGCTCCCCAGCACAGTCTGGGCTGCATGAACAGCAGACTCCGAGACGACCTCCTCTTCGTGTCCCAAATAAGTGCGCTTAACCATTTGCTTTCCCTGATGCCTTTGATTTTTTGGTGTGTGTGTGTGTGTGTGTGTGTGTGTGTGTGTGTGTGTGTGTGTTTTATTTTTTGTTGTTGTTGTTTTAAAGTGTTCACAGGGTCGCTAAAGCAGACGACGCGGGGGCGGCGGAGCTGCACAGAAGCAGATGACAACCACTACGGCTTCTGCGTGGTTCTTTTCCTGTCCCCGTCTGCGTCGCCCAACCCCACGGAGAGCTCGGAGCACTAGGTCGGGTTTGGGGCTCCCAGCGGGCACAGGAGTTCTGTTATTTTCCCCGGGGTGCTACTACACCGGGCGGCTAAGGCTCAGAGATCACCCGTGGCCGCCACCTGAGGTCGAAGGCAGCAGCTCCAAGCCACGGTCAGGGTAGACATCTGGCCTCTGCGTCCACTTCGCCGCGTGCACGCCCTCGTCCTCTCCCTCTTGCGACGAAATCCCGAGGCAGAACCGGCCATGGGTCCTTGAGTCCATCCGGGAACCCCTGGCCTCCCACACTTCGCTCAGGATTCGGGGGAGGATGTGCTGAGAGGACTTTAACCAGGGGCTGTGCTGTCTCGCTGACGTTCCATGTCTGCTTATGCAGCATAAAACTGACCGAGGTGGCCAGCAGCGGGACAAACGCCTCGCTGACTTGCTCCTCTGCAACTGAGGGCCCTTCCTTCTTCGTTCTGGGGGGGGGGGGGGGGTTAGGTGATCCTTAAATTGAGTTTCTTTATTCCGTCTAACCGGGTCTCCCCCGTGGCAGGATGTTCCATCTCCCGACCGACCTTGCCCCTACTCCCCGGCCACGGCTGTCTCCTGGCTGTCTCCTAGCGGTGAGGGGTAACGGTGAGAACTCATAACCCACATTAGGAAAACAGATATGGGGGTGCGGACCCAGAGGTGTACCGTCCCCCCCAGCAGGAGTGGGAGTGGGGCCGCGGGCACCAAGGAGGAAGGGGATAGGAGCGCGCAGGGAAAAGGGGTGTGTGGGGGGGAGTACTTCGCTCTCTACACCGCTCACCATGCCCGCCGCCTTCCTTGGCCTCACCGCGCCTCCCTGGCGTCTCTCTGAGAGCCCCACCAGTCTCTAGGATCCTAACTCCCCGAGCAGAGTTACCATCCTCTCTCCCACCTGAAGGCCGAGATTCTTCTGGGCCTTTTTTTTTTTTTTTTTAAGGATTTTTTTTTTTTTTCGAGTTCTTTTTTCATTTCCCTATTTTACCTGCTCTGCGCTCAGCCCCTTCTCGCTTCGGGGCTACGGAACAGACGCCTCCGGGGATCAGCTCCTGGCCTCTTTCTTCACTCGCCCCGCCAAGGACTCTGCCTCTTATCGGAGGTTCCGCGCGGGAGACAGGCTAGGTGTCCCTGCCAGATGGCAAGAGGAGGGAGCCTAAGACAATCACGTGAGGCGAGAGCGAGGAAGGTGAGCAGCCCTGCAGATCGTGGTCTCTCCCAGCACCCCAGATCTGAGTGAGGAGAGCTTTGAGACCCTCTGCTCAACCTTGGACCTGCGTGTTCTCGGGTCAACCCAGTCCACGCGTCTGCCCCAAAGAGGCTGAGAGAGAAATTCCTGCAGCCCATCAAGGGCTCGGGGGCGCCTCCTGAGGCCTTCAGCTGGCGGCAGCGGCCCAGCCCGCTTCTGCGTGCCCGGAGCGCCCCCTCTGTTCCAAGCGCACGTCTTGGCCTTTGCTGGATAGGGGAAAGGCAAGGGTACACTTTGGAGGGAGGGGGATGGGTGCGCACAAGCCACCAGCAGCCCTAGTCGCTCCAGTAAACACGCCCCGCCGGGGCAGGGCGGGCAGCGCGCGCAGGGGAACCCGGCGGGGCCACCCCCGCCTTTACCTGTCGGAGCCTGAAAGCGCCAGCGGCTGCTGCGCGGCGGGGGCGGGGCTTGCCAGCCCGCGCGCCGGGGCGGGACCCAGCGGGGGCGGAGCTCACAGTGATTGGGTGCGGGCGCGGGGCCACCAGCCAGAGCCGAGCTGCAGGGCTGTGCAGGTTTCACTTCGCTCCGCGCAGCCTCCAGGTTCTGATCTTGTAAGAGCGCTCCGTCTCGCGTCGCCGCCGCCACCACTGCCACCGGATTCTTGAAGTCGCTCTGCGCGCCCCAGCCCAACTGCGGCCAGCATCGCCGCGGGCTGCTCGCTTCGCCCCGCTCCCGCCGCCACCCCCTCGGCGCCCTTTCCCTGGCCCTCGTCCCCCCAATGTCTGACTCTGACTCTCGGACTGAGAAACGCAAGGTAAATACCTCCGAATCCCCGGGAGCGGGCCGGGTGCCGACGGAACACAAACACCGGAGTCAGATCGGCTCCACCTCCTGCTCCCTTCCCGAGCACGTGCAGGCAGAGATGCACGTACCCGTCCCACTTGTCGCTGGGCGGGAGGCGGCGATCAGGCGGGTCGGGTTCCCTTCCCCTGCAGGTCCAGTTTGGTGAGGGGTCATCCGTGGAAAGGCTACGGGCACTTGGCCGAAGTACGGTTCGGGCCGGGATTCCGCGCGAGGGAGTGGTGAAGCTTCTCAGGGCCGGCTGGGAAGGCAGCGCGTGCTCTCCGCTCTGTCCTGGGAGCTGGGGCCCCGCTCCACGACACTGGGCTGCGGCAGCCGGCCAGAGCCTCGCGGCCGGCTCCCGGAGACCCCCGAGTAGCGGCTGCGCGGTACGAGCTGGTCTGGAGCCTTGACTTTTCTCGGGTGCTTGGGCCCGTTGCCGAGGATTTGCGGAACTGAGGTGGTTATTGAACTGACGGGACTCGGCTTTTCCTTGTACCCATTCAGGCCGAGGTTTCAGGGCAGCTACTGCGTTCGTTCTCTCGGACGTGTCTGGGAGCCCGGCCCGGTCTGCGAGTGCGCTGCAGACGATACCAGCCGCACCATCCATAGACAGCGGGAGACCGAGGGCTTCCTCCGACTGCCGCGGCCACGCAGTGGACGAGCCTCGAGCAGCAGAACCTGCTGCATCCGGGGGCCGGACTGTCGTAGAGACCCGGGCACCGCGACTCACTTGCTGTGCTGGCTGGCGGTGCGGTGCCCTCGAAGGCCTGTTACTCGGTGCTGGTGCTGGTGCTGGTAGTGGAAGACCCGCGGGACGCTGGGAATGGGGGTGTGGATACGATCGCTGTCTGCAGTGGCCACGGGTGCGCGCAGATATGCGTGCCAGTGGCCGTGGTGATCGCTTAGATTTGGAGCGTGTCCGCGGCGCACCGGGAGAAAAAGGGAGGAAGTTGGAGGAGGGTCGGTGCTGCAGCTAGGGAGGGGGCGGCCTTTGGGGTCTTCAGCCCAGCCGGCCTGGGTGGGGTCGGCGGCCCGCAGCAAGGACTAGGGGCTGAGAACGGCCCTGCGGGTGTGGAGAGAGCGAGGCTCCTGCTTTGTCTCCAGGTGACCGGGTGCTTGGGGTGGCGGGAGCTGCGGAGGCTCGAGCGGCGTCCGGACGGTCACAGAGGCGGGGGGCGGGCTGGGGAAGCCTGGACAGCTCCGGGCCCCGAGACTCCCGCCGCCGCCG